AGCTTCTTCTCTTTTTAAACATCAGCATGATGATGCCTGAAGCATAAGCACTGGAAAGACTAAGCAGCCTGTAGATGCAGACTGACAGGCTTGGGGAGACTCAGCTGTCCTTTGTTGTCTGGCCTAGTGGCCAGAGTTGAGTTATAATCTCTAGATTCCTCCCACACAGTGGGCTGGCAGCTCTTTATGCTGGATGCCCGTTACGTCTAGCCAGAGCATCATCTATTGTCCATCCTGCAGGTTACCTGCATCAGACTTCAAAGACAATGCCTCTGTGTCCACTGTGAGCTCCCTCATCCTTCCTCACCATTTGCTCAGCCAGGAATCCAGACTAAGTCTGGGAACCATCACAGACTTTTCTCTCCCTTGACTTCCTAGGTGACTGGCGCGCGCACACACACACACAAACACACACACACACACACACACACACACACACGCACACATACATATATATATTATGTGCATTGAAGTGTGGGTGTCAGATCCCTGAAACTGGAGTTACAGACAGCTGTCAACTACCATGTGGGTGCTGGGAATTGAGCCGGGTCCTCTGGAAGAGCAGACAGTATTCTTAACTGCTGAGCCATCTCTCCAGCTCGGGTGACTGGCACTTTTATGCCACATTCTCTCACTAGAGATGACAGTTTGGTCCTAGATACTTGTTAATCACTAAGGAGAAATTTAAGCCCCCCCCCCATCTCTCCCTCCCTCCATCCATGTGATAAGTCCTGGGCTTTAGGTCTGAAGGATCACAACCCAAACTCCTTTCCACAATTGCAGGAAGCTCCGCAATCTGACTCTGTGAGGGAAAACCAGCTTGCCACTGTCTTTTCCCCTGCTGTGAATATTCATGCCACTTGCTGCAGGAGCACCTGACCACAGGGGATACTCAACCTCTGAGGGTGTAGATAACTCAGGATTCTGAACTCTGGAGGACATCAGACCCCAAGAACTCCAGAAAAGGGATTTTGAACCTATGTCTTCATCAGTTAAAAACTCTGATGGAAAAACTTCATAAACTCAAACACATTAACCTCCCATGAAATGATCTTAAGGGGCATAGTCACCCTGCTGTGGGACAGAAGGGCTAAAAAAAAGTGACCGTTGCCAGCACCAGGAAGAGGTTCAGAAGAAATCTTAGGAGGGATAAAGTTTGAGCTGGGTCTTGAAGGCTGAGTTGAATTTTTATTTAACGGTGAAGCTGTGGAAATGAAATTCTTGGCTGAGGGAAGAGCGTGTAGAAAAATGTGCAGAGAAAAGAAAAGCTGTGTCTAAGCAGCTTGAGCTCCCAAGCTTTGTCATCCTACAGGAAAGGTCTGATTATCTGTCAGAGTGTGGGAGAAGCAATAGGATAACACAAAGAGGCAGCTAGTCCAAAAACCGATTTGCTCAGGGCTGGAATTTTCTTTGGGATGTAGACCTAATGTATAGTCCCAGAGAAATATCTCTGATGGCCTCCCTGTGAGGTCTACTGGGGAGGCTGTGCCAATGCCAACCTCCTGTGCCAGTGCCAACCTCCCTTCCTCCCCCTCAGGCTGCTGCAGCAAGAGTCACCCTCCGGGCCAGGTCAGGCAAGATCTCATTTCACTGCCTGCTGCTGGGTTTGGAGTCCAGTGCTTACCAGGTGGCCTCTGTTAACATCTGAGTGCCAGGTTCAGATCAGATCAACCACCTCCCACTGTCAGCAGCCCTGAGCAAGTTATTTACCTCTTCTGTGCCTTTGTTCCTCAGCTATAAAAGCAGAACAATAGTCTGCAGCTATTGAAATGGGCTGGAAGCTGGCCTATAAAGCACTTGGCAGGGAGCCTGGCTGGTGAACACTCAGTAAGTAGCGGTTATTATTGTAGGGAGGACCCCTCCCTCCTCCAGCTATGTACACACACATGAAATCCTCGGTACTACCTTCCTTTTGCAAAGCCTTTTCTTCTGGCCCTGGCCTCCCACTCTTCCTAGTGAACCATTTTCTGTGAGAATTTATTAGTTTATTTTCTTAGCTCATTCTTTTTTTTTTTTTTTTTTTTTTTTTTTTTTTTTTTTTTTT